TAATGTGGTATATATCAAAAGAAAGGGGCGGGGCATAATAGGTCCCAAAAATATTCATAGCAGTCTGCGACTGTAGATAATGAAAGATCAAAGCTCTTCTAAACTCCAAAGTAGATTGTCTAGGCAATTTTCGAAGGTGTGGCTTACTCCACGCCCCTTTTTGCTAAAATAAATCGAGGTCAAAGAAAAACTGGAACCACGAAAATTCAACCATTCCTAAATTTCCCTTTGTGGCTGTGGCTGTGGCTCACACTCACAAACCCAAATAATTTTTTGTCCCCCCCCCCCTCTTGAAAAAGTTTCTTGCACCGCCACTGCTTTAATGTATCTATCCTTCTCTGCTCCTCTGTTTTTGCTGTTTTAAATGCTCTTCTCTCTCCCAAAAATACCTCCTACATCTTCAATGGATTTGCACATGTTTATTTTCGAATCCATGTTTCCAATAGTGCCTACCTGAAGTACCTTTTAAATAGAAGCAAGCTCCAGAGATAGAAGGCGGAGAAGAAAATTACTCCATTCTCAAAATTTCTGCGTTTGGTCACAAAACTGAAACTCGCAACGGAAATCGGAGCATTATAGGTTTTATAGCCTGCTCTCTCTGACTGTGCCAAATTTGCGCTGATTGAAACTCTTTATGAAAAGTTATGATTTTCGAAGCAAATGCCAAAGAATCATGCTTACTCTTTTTTACGGCTTCATAAAACACCATGACTTTTTCAGAGACTTTCAAACAGCGCAATCTTTGTACATTCAAAAAGAGTAGGTAATAATAGCTATGATATCGATTGCTCCGATTTTCTGCAAGCAGATTTTGCGTCCAAACATGGGGAATATTAAAATGGAGTAATTTTCTTCACCGACTTCGATCTCTGGATATCAAAAAGTGCCTCAGGTACCATTAGAAAGAGCATGTCTTCTTTCAAAATAAACATGTGCAGATCGGATGTGAAGGAAGAAAGTTTCGAGTTTCAGTTTTCACTCACTTTCACAGAAAGTTTCACTTACACATACATGCCTTAGAGTCTGACACATACCTGTTTTGTGCGGAAAATGCTGGAATATTAGATTAAAACAAAAGTTCTGTCACTCCAAATTTAAAAGTTTCAAAAAAATTCGAGTTGAAGTAAAGCCTTGATTTTCGCAGAAAACTCTTGTAATTTTTAAATCTGTCTCAGAGCTTCTCTTGTTGAGATTTCGAAATTTTCCAAAATTTTAAATGAATTGTCCAAATTTGCTCCGTATTTCTTGGCGAAGAAGTTGCAAAATGGAACACTTGCGGCAAGGCACGATTTACATCAAGAAATTCCAATTAATTCTCATTACAAAAAGAAAGGAGGCCGAAGTCAGCTTCAGTCGCGCGGACGAGGTCAAAATGACACCCGATAAGTGAAAACGGTTTATTTCATGGGACCATCTCCCCTTTGAAGGCGCATGTTGTTCTTAATATCTGCCGATTTTTTCTAACTTTATTCGGTTATGCATATATATTCGAATGCTTCTGTGATTTTATGTATATTTAATTATAAATACCTCAATGATCTGTTAATTTGCAATTATCAACTTCAGCCTATTGTGGTTCTATATGGTACCTGCATAAAACAATACAGTGTGCCATTTGCTTCCTCATTAAAACTATCTCGCTGTCTACGTCTCTTAGCATCTAGAAAGTTCAGAAGAATTTCCACATCAAAGGAATAATGTCTTAGTAAAAAGCGAAAACCTAGTATTGGAAAGAAGAGCCTAGTAACAAAAAGGAAGCTTGATATGGAAGAAACGCATCGCGAATCAAAGCGAAAACTGCAAAGTGCTGCGGAACTCCAAACAAAATACTGCGGAAACCCTGTACCCTGAGATTGCAGGGTTTCCGCAGCGCTTTCGCAGGATTTCCGCCGGGTCACCTGCGGATATCCTGCGAAAGCGCTGCGGAAGTTCCGGTTGGTTGTCTGAGATAGCTGTTTATTTCGGAGTCAAGCATTATGGATTCGCACCTACAGCGGCAGATATGAAAACTGCACTGTAACGTTATGTGATATATTAGGTCGCTTGCGAAACCTCTTTTCCACGCCATTTGGTTTTTTTTTTTCGAAAAATGAAAGCGAGGATGGGTTTTTCTTTTAACCAGAGTTTAAATCTCTCTTTTTCTGTAAACACTTCTCCTTGTTTTCCCCTTTCCAGCTTTCCGATTTTCTTTCCAAATAATGCAGTATTTTTTCACAATAGAACGGAACGTGGGCTCCGTACTTGGAAGCTTATTGTTAGATCAGTGCGTCACCTCTGCTTCGCAGAGGCTCGCACTGGCCCTACTTTCTGTATGCCTTACTCATTCCCGCATGATAGTGGCATTGAAACTCACCGCGTTATGCAGGCTATCACGAATGATTTGTAAACAGCTACTCATTCCTAGAGCTTTTTTGTGTGAGATCGGTATTTTCGCGGGGATGAAACTTTTCTCAGAAGAATAAATGCAAATTTGAATAGGTTTATGGACTTCTTATGGTTTGGTAGTCGCCATAACGGCAATAATCATCGTAGGCTACATCTCTGTGCAAAAAATTTCTCAAATGATCAAGTAAAATCTTGGGAAACTAAACATTTACGCAACTATACTTTTTGGCGCCATCTTCGTAAAGTAACCAACTTTAGTTGAATTTTTTGGGCTCAAGTCCATGGCTTGTACATTAGCTTGTCAAACATATCCACGACTTTGCAAAAAGTTTGTATACGGGCCCAATTTTGCTGGTCAGAAGTTAAGTGGACCCATTTCATGCGCAATTTTTAGGGGATCCACTTAACGGACCCGCTTGTGCTTTTGCACAATGGACTTTTCTGCTGCTAGAATGCGCTATGCAAAATTTGGGCTCAAGAGGTTGGCTGGAACTCTCCCTACGAATTTCGTAACGGACAGACAGACACACACACAAAAAACGTAAACAACCCTTAGCCCGTTATTATAAGTTATGATTCCCTCCCGCAACAAGAGTTTGATTGCGACATGCTCTTGTTACTCTGCGGCACAAAAATATTTTTACACAAAACAGGCAAAAAGACGTATGATTTTTACTTTACGATAGTTGAGAGATCTCCCAAATTACAGAAGACTATGCTGATCTACATTTTCCTGCTCAGTGGCGTACCCACGATTTTCGTCTGGGTGGGGGAGGGGGGACAAAAGATTTTTTCTGATGAAGGTGCGTGACATCAGTCACGCACTCCGGAAAATTCCTTGGCATGTCTCATGAAATTTTTAAGGGCCATAACCCCTAAATTTCAAAAAAGGGCGTGGCGCCAGTCATGCAAATGAAAAAATTTTTTACAAGGCTAAATTGAATTTTTAAGAAAGTTTAAAAAATATATTAATTATTTACAAGTACCCCGGCTCTAGTCACGTCGTGTGCAACAGTGCCACATCACAGACTATGCGTCTCGACGTTGCTTGTCATGTCAAAACGCTTCACGGGGCCACGGTTCGGCATAGGTGACTTTCAAGCAAGCTGAATATCGTTTTCGAGACAAAGCAGTTCTGTTTTGTGGCCGAAGAAACACAAAATAGGTCCCTTTTCTTCGGTCGACGTTTCATTCTTCTTGGAGTTTTTAACATCTATGGTTTAGGGTCAAAAGGAACTTCGTAAAATTTTTGTAAAAGTCAGGACTTCGTTTTTTGCATTTTCGGAAAGCCACCTCGTGTTGGGCCCTGCGCGGGGCAACATGGGTGGGAGGAGCGCAAGGGGGCGGGCAAGGGGATCCAGTCCGTTATCTCCTGTAGGCAACATTAGGGGACCTAACCAACGCGGTTGGTCTACTTTTAGGGCCTGCTAGTCGGACAAGTAATAGTCTAGGGTGAACAGATCTTATGTGGATGCTGGCTTCAAAAAACGACATCCAGCGGGTGAAGGTGCCACTCCTCTGCTGAACTCTGTCCACATAGCGTACATAGCCTCTCAAAAGAGGGATCTTGGCAAAATTACTCTACTTTTCTCATTGAACTTTTTCCAACTGCAATAGCACGATAACTAGCTTATGTATGCACCTTTCTTAGATAGAGTATTAACTGCAGAATAAGTGGACGCTGTCCAAGAGGAGACTTTTAATGTTTATAGAAACCCTTGATTTACTAGTGAAAACAAGTACTGATTATTCTAAAATCGTTGTAAACTTGCTCCTACCACCATGAATCTCGTGACCCTTCTTCGAGGAAGCGCTATCCCTCCAGGCAACAAGGGGGTTCTTTGGAATGCGTTCCAGCATGGAAGCAAAGAAACGAAAAGAGAAAAGTCCTAATTTTTTTTCGTGAATTCATATAAATTTTTCAAGTTATACCTCAGCGCAACAATAGTACTCAAATTTGCATTCCGACCTGCATACATCATTTCAAAAACTCTGAAACTCTATCTTGATGTCCACTGTTTCTTCTTCCTTGCCCCGCCTTCCTATCATTTGCTTCACTCAACACCAGCTGCAGTTTCAGATAGCAACTGAATCAAAATATAGAAAGCAGTCGTAAACCGCCAACGACTTCGTTTTCGGGATCAAAGCTAGTATCAAGCCCTGCTTCAGAAACTGTCTTTTGAAGGTGTTAGTGTGAGAAATTGCGTAATTAACTTATCACAAATAGAGAACGCTTATATCAAAACGATCGAACGGAACGCGATAGATTACTACCCTAATTTCACGCGTACAAGGCGCGGGGTGGTCCTAGCTTTCATCGACCAGCCCGAACACGGCAAAGGACCTCGCAACCAAAGGAACCCCATACCTGCTGCGTTTTGCCTGACGAATCGTGCGGCATAAGGATCGCTTCTTAAAACACGTTGGGGCGGCTGAGCAGCTCGATGAAAGCTAGGACCACCCCGCGCCTTGTACGCGTGAAATTAGGGTAACAATTCCTTGGAAATGAAGGATTGTGCACTTTTTCACAGCATTATGTACCATATTCGCAAGTAGCGGAGAAAATTCATGCGCGGACAATCAGAATTATGCGAATGTTGAGTTGGATACCAGAAGCCAAAATAACTATTTATGTACAGAAGAACCGAAACCGGAGCTGTGACCAACAAACGAAGAACCGAAAGCGGAGAAGTGACAACAAACGATGTACGATAATATCGGAAGCCGATGTGAACAAAGCATTTGAAAAAATATCAGACTAAGAACCAAAAGCTCGAAACTGATCATCCACAAAAAATACCAGAGAGCCGTCTGCAAAAAAAGAGAATGAAGAAAAGCTGAAAGGTGCACTCGGCAAGCAAGCATACGAATTCTCAAATTATGCATTTACAGAATGCTCTTGGGCGGAAAGAATGAGCAAGGCGATGCGTGAAGGGTAAACGTCAGGTAGATATACTCTGAGATTGATCCTAAATCCAGATAGATGATAGAAATTGGAAGAGAAACTCGATAGCGATCCAGATGCGTGGTGAAAATATTCTGAGATTTGGTTTTAAATTGGAATAAACAATGATAGAAATGAAAGGTACACCAATGTTTGTGATTCAGATGCGAGGTAAAAATACTCTGAGGTTTCTTGAACTGAAATAAACAATAATAGAAATGAAAGGTACACCATTGCTAGTGATCCAGATGCGAACAAAAAAACTCTGAGGTTAAATTCAAAGAGACCGCTTAGAAAATGCGACGGTCATTCAAGAAAGGTTATCGACGCCAAGGCGTCACGAATGTGTTGGCTGGTCTCCGGACGAGTACGAGTTTGCACCCAAATTTCACCAAAAGCTTCGTCCTGTGATACTTCTACGACTGTTATCTTCGCCAGATCTATGTAGATTACACTTGTTTTCTCAGCGATACGCAAATTTTGAGATAAGAGAATTACAACACACTTAGCAATGTTGAAAATACAGCAGCAGCGGTTTTTCTTGGAGTGGTAGCTGGCGGAACAATATCTGATAGTGGAACTGGTTCATCGGTAGCCACAATAGCTCTGAAAAAGTTTTCTGTAAAAACGGAGAAAACGCTGACAAGGCCTGCTCATTTTGCACAGAAAGCATTCTGCATTTGTTTACATGTTTCACCACATCTGCAGTGCTGCTAGGGCAGTGTGTTAGATTGGTCCTCAAAATCATTCTACATGTGTGACCCTAAGTTTGGGATTTAATTAAGCATTGTTCAAGCGCCAGCGAAAATGATTCATCCATGATCGACAGATTAAAGGCAGCGGCTCGGCAGATTGTCAGTTTGAAGTTTTTTTGCTTGCCTGAGGTAATTCGAGGCGCTGATTCGAAGATCCACCTTGAAGAGCACGAAAATGGCAAAAACCACCCAAGGCCTTCCATTTTGATTTTGGACGAGTGGAGCACGTCCCGCCATGGTTAGAGAGGCAGAATTGCTGCGGGACCCTCGCAGTACAACATTGCGGCATGTCTTCCCTGACGGGTCAGGGAGAATCGCAAGCTCGTCCGCGCGTAATAGAATGGCTTGCGCGTAACAGGGTTTTCTAGGCGAGGACAGCATGCTGTGTGCTCGGACTTGCTTTGTCCTCTATTTAGGGTGCAAGAACCTTCCATCTCGAAATGTCGCGATGTTCGGCTTTGGCGAGCTGCTGCCTTTAAAGGCAGTACATCGGCAGAATGAGACCCGTGACAAAACAAGGTCACAGGATAGGAGCCCCCATTGGAACCTATCGGCCAAAGTCCGATCTTTCTCTGCCACTTCTAACCCCCGAAATTTCAAAGCGAAAGCAGCGCTCATCTCCCGTCCTCTCCGAACCCGCCCATCCCATGGACGAGTAAACGCGAAGCCCGTCATGGCGAAGACGCAGAGTCGTTCCGGGACCTCATGCTTATAGCATTGCGGCTGGCGCTCTGACCGCGGAAGTCACTCGTTCATGGGTGGGCGGGTTCGGAGAGGGAGATGAGCGCTGCTTTAGCTTTGAAATTTGGGGGGTTAGAAGTGGCAGAGAAAGATCGGATTTTGGCCGATAGGTTCCATATGGGGGCTCCTACCCTGTGACCTTGTTTTGTCACGGGTTTCATTCTGCCGATGTACTGCCTTTAAACCCCCGAAACACAAGATCTTACCCCCTTCATGCGGGATCCGCGCAAAAACTATGCAAGCCGATGCAACTCGTCCGCCATGGTAGCGTGGACAGGGGCCTAGTTAGGGATACGAAAGTCGCAACTTGGACCGCCTCCGCGGGCGGCTGGTCCTGGAACGACACGCAACAACACTGCGAAAGGACCAATTGTCCGTAAAAGGCGGCTCAACCTGGCGACTTTCGTTCCCTCACCCCAGGGGGCCTTGACAATGCCTTCAAATCTATGGGCTTCGCTCCTAGTGCGATAATCTTGCTTCCTTCTCAAGGGCACCGTCCACCCAAATTGAAGTCGTTGGGGTCTTGACGAAATGCACAGTGCCGCTACTGACTTACGGACAGTCCAAGTTCGATCGAGAAAAAGAAATCTGAAGCGAGAATTCGCTTCGGACGAATCCAGAAACAAGGGGCGGTACTCCGACCACGCCTCGAATCGTTGGACGTTCCTCTAATCCTACCCATCCGTGCTCGCCCCAATGGTGGCTTTCGATTCAGAATTCGTCCCCTCTGAAGCGAGATATGGTCATGCGACGGTGATGTCCATACATGCAGCGACACGTAGCGACATGTATGGGCATGTCGCTACATTTATGGACATGTAGCGACATGTCCATACATGTCCATACATGATACATTCGCGTCTATTTTTCAAAAAATGTGAGCGGTAGTGTATACCCTCCATTGAGAGCTGTGATTTAATAACAGGATGCCCCAAAAATATGTAGACCCTATATGATTGTTGCTTCTCCTCCCTTAAGGCTAAATTAACTTGGATTTACTTTGGAGAGACTCCGCTCTCTGCTGTTGCAGGATTGCCGTAGTTTGAAGATTTAAGACAATGACAGCTATTTTGCTTGAAAAAGCGAACAAAAGAGCTGAAAATCTTACTTTAGACACAAGAGGCACTCATTTTAATTATATTTGCACACATGCTTTTTTCACAAGTTATGCCAAGTACACCGTAACAAATGTTTTCCAATGTTTTCGAAAACGTGATTACACAGTTAAAATCGAAAAACCTGTGAAAATTTGCATGATAAAAGCAGTTTGCATATATGTTGGAAGTTCCTACGCTATCCACAACATTGAAAACAAGGGTGATCCCTTTTTACTGTTTCAAGCTGAAGCCAGCTCTACAGAACTTCACTCAGAGGTTGGCAAAAGACTCAAATTTTCGCATAGTCGATGCACATCAAATTTTCGAATAATTGTTGCTCATCGACCGAATCATGGAATTAATGACCATTGAATATTCGATTATCGAATAATCGAAAATGAAAATTTCGAATATTCGACTATCGAAAATTATTCTGAATCTTAGGTTTCCGAATAATCGAATTTTCGAATCAGCATTCGAATAAATTCGAATTAACGAATAATCATTCGATTCGGTCCAAAGTATATTGGACAGTGAGGTCCTCTAGACAATAATACCGCCCTGTTGTCAGCAATACAAGTAGCAATTTGTTCATTCGCAGATGTCAGATAAATTTTGGCCCCAGGGACAATAGATCAGCTGTATGATCTGCCTACACACATAATAAAAGATTCCCCTTGAGTGTAGGCAGGTTTTAAACTCCGATTCTTGATCACAATCCTTCACTGCAAATTTCTATTTGCATCTTACATAATACGTTGATGTCCTCACGACAATTCCGTTCGCCTCATAGTGTATGAATAGGCTTTGTTTTCATATAAGACACAAAAACGTTCCATCTACTTGCCCATGACAGAGCATACCTGAGCAAAATCAGTTCCCTTGCATCCACTACCTCGCAAATAGGAAACGAAAGTGTCCTGAATAAGAACATATGATTCTAGGAAAAACAAAAGTCCTTCAGCGTACTTTTCAGAGATATTGCTTAGCTGGCTAGTTTGCTGAGACGTATCCTCTTTTTGAAGAGAGTCGCGTAGTAGTACAGAAGAACGACGGCCTATGCATTTGAGCAGTCAAGTTATCTACCCTTAGTGAGCGAATGCTACTTCAGCAACATTTAAGATACCCATTTCATCGGTTAATCCAGTCAAACGACGTGGTAGTTCAAGATGCGAGGGGCGAGACTCTCTGAGACGATTCTGAGACAGTGTCATATCTGCTGCAAGCTCTCCGATATTTGGCAACAATGGGAGATCGCCAGGTAGAGCACTCTAAAGTAAAACATTATAATTAATTGAAATCTTGAGAATGTAACTAACGGAGTCTCTTCGTACGTCTCCCTGACCCGCTTCGGATTCCTTTTGGCGGGCTACATCTCTCTGATCGACATCTACCCATGGTCCTCCAAGTCTGAAATAAACTTTCGTTAGTGTAACTAGGTACTCCTGGAAGTAATACTGTGTAGGGATTAATCACTTATGACGCTTGGGTCTCAAGAAACAATTCTTGCGCAGCCACAGGTTAAACATAATTGAAACTGAGTAAAACTGCAGAAACACTGCCTGAGAATTTATCGCTAAAACTCCACGATTTGCATTTTGCTAGATTTTTATGGAATTACCGTGCGCAGCTCTTATATGCACAGGAGCGTTTCTGCATATTGTCGCAAACGCATCAAGTCTAACCCTTGCAAAGCGCTTCAACGCCAAACGATGAAGAGTCCTTGCGTGCCGGATAGCGCAGCGACTCGCAGCGACTCAAATCAAGAGAGATACAATACCACCCGTAATTTGTGAAAAAAAATGGCGGCGGCACTTAACTTACGCGGCGCCGCCGAAGTTAGGTGACTTTTGCCGCGTCGCGCGACAAAAGTCGGCGGAAAAGCGGCAAAAGTCACCTAACTTTGTCGCGCAACGCCTAACTTTTTATAAAAAAAGACCTTATCTTGATTCAAAATTTATGAATTCTATATATAAGAGAACCATTCAACTCAGCTCGGCGAGGCGCATCTTCCAATATACGGATGTGCCTAGTTGTGGGATATAAGTTTCTTTCCTGGAATTTTAGTGTAAATGGACCATTCAGTGTGCTTATTCCAGAGGCTACGTACACATTCCATTGAGCACAGCAGAAATAGGGCAGGTATAGTTTAAGAGCTCATTCTGCATGGATATATGTGAAACTGGGCAGCTCATTCTGCATGGATATGTGTGAAAGTGGGCAGCTCATTCTGCATGGATATGTGTGAAAGTGGGCTTCTCTCGGCGAAGTATGACGGGTCCCAAAATGCAGGAAGACAAAGGGAAATGGTTGGAAATCGCATGAGAAGCACATATCGCGGAATGCCGCGCGTGCTGTGCAATGTACAATACCACTCACAGAACGGGAATTGCGCGAAATTCCAGAAATTTCGCGATTCCGGATTATCGTAAATTATGCAGCGCCATAACTTCCTTCGGAATTAATATATTCTAAATTCGAAAGCAGCACTGTGTTCATCTCGTCAAGGCGAATCTTTCTACATACGTCATGTCATCTATATCTTGTTTTCAGTTTTCTCAAATTGTTCTGAGGAGGTCCCTTTGCAAGTATGTAACGCAGCGCCTATCCAACTTGAAAGCTTCCAGTATGCACCATTCGATAGTGCTCTTCTTGTGCATTATAGTGCGCTAGTAAGCTGCCGCAGGCTTCTTTTCAAAAGAGAAAAAAGCGTTGGTAAATTCTGGAAAAATCACTCGTTTCCAGATTCTACTCGCCGTAACTTTCTTTGGAGTGGATATTTTCTAAATCCGAAAAATGCATTGTGCTCAGCTCATCAAGGCAAATCTTTCGGTATGCGGAATGTCCTTGATATCTCGATTTCAGTATTCTCAAAACTTTCTGCGGACGTTTCTTCGCAAAGGTGTGAAGCAGCGCGTATTGCCCCCAGTACATTCAGAAAGAAATTTTCGATAGTACTTCTTTTGTAGATTATGGAGCGCTGGAAAGTAGCCGCGTACTCCTTTTCGAAGGAGTTAGAAGGGCTGGTGAATTCTGGAAAAATCATGTCCTTCTAAATTTTTCTCAACGTAACTCTAAAATATGAAGCTCTCTTGCTAAGCAGATGTGATTTTCGTAACCAGCAGGTCGGATAACCCTTATGAGCATGTTTTCCAAGATGTTCAAGTAATTTCATTTTTTCTCGTTTTACGCTCTGAAGCTGGCCGATGGATTTTGGTCAAAATGTTCATGCTCTTAAATTGTAAGGAAACTTCGCTTATAGAGGTTTTCGAACACGCTCTTTACGAAAATCGTGGTCCTTGAGGATTACAGGGTCTTTTTGGTGAGATACGGTGAGGTGACTGTAACTGCATCACGAAAGTGCGTAAATTGGCCCGCACTTCTCGCGTATCTGTCAGCAACCTTGCCTGCTTGCTTTTCTCAGTCAAAGTTACTAGGAACTGCGCTACCGAATGGTGCATGAATCAGGCTCCAGTCTGTAAAAATCACCGAGTTACGAGCCTATGAAAACACGTCCTCATGGATTTTGCCCAAAATCTAAAGATCGCATATCTCGTCGAAATTCCTCCGTGAGCGCTTGTATGACACTCGCATTGCGGATATTGTGTTCGCTTCGCCCAAAAACTCCCACTGTATTGAATATGGTACTTGCATATGCTTCAGCTACTCAGTTGAATATCAGAGCTATTTCAGTGGCTAGAACTCAAACTACTAAATCTAACACAATAAGATCCATTAAGGACGCGAAAGATTTTGATCAGCGTGTTGTACAAGCGCTCACGGTGGAACTTCGACGAGATTTGCATCTTTAGATTTTGGGCAAAATCCATGAGGACGTGTTTTCATAGGCTCGTAACTCGGTGATTTTTACAGACTGGAGCCTGATTCATGCACCATTCGGTAGCGCAGTTCCTAGTAACTTTGACTGAGAAAAGCAAGCAGGCAAGGTTGCTGACAGATACGCGAGAAGTGCGGGCCAATTTACGCACTTTCGTGATGCAGTTACAGTCACCTCACCGTATCTCACCAAAAAGACCCTGTAATCCTCAAGGACCACGATTTTCGTAAAGAGCGTGTTCGAAAACCTCTATAAGCGAAGTTTCCTTACAATTTAAGAGCATGAACATTTTGACCAAAATCCATCGGCCAGCTTCAGAGCATAAAACGAGAAAAAATGAAATTACTTGAACATCTTGGAAAACATGCTCATAAGGGTTATTCGACCTGCTGGTTACGAAAATCACATCTGCTTAGCAAGAGAGCTTCATATTTTAGAGTTACGTTGAGAAAAATTTAGAAGGACATGATTTTTCCAGAATTCACCAGCCCTTCTAACTCCTTTGAAAAGGAGTACGCGGCTACTTTCCAGCGCTCCATAATCTACAAAAGAAGTACTATCGAAAATTTCTTTCTGAATGTACTGGGGGCAATACGCGCTGCTTCACACCTTTGCGAAGAAACGTCCGCAGAAAGTTTTGAGAATACTGAAATCGAGATATCAAGGACATTCCGCATACCGAAAGATTTGCCTTGATGAGCTGAGCACAATGCATTTTTCGGATTTAGAAAATATCCACTCCAAAGAAAGTTACGGCGAGTAGAATCTGGAAACGAGTGATTTTTCCAGAATTTACCAACGCTTTTTTCTCTTTTGAAAAGAAGCCTGCGGCAGCTTACTAGCGCACTATAATGCACAAGAAGAGCACTATCGAATGGTGCATACTGGAAGCTTTCAAATTGGATAGGCGCTGCGTTACATACTTGCAAAGGGACCTCCTCAGAACAATTTGAGAAAACTGAAAACAAGATATAGATGACATGACGTATGTAGAAAGATTCGCCTTGACGAGATGAACACAGTGCTGCTTTCGAATTTAGAATATATTAATTCCGAAGGAAGTTATGGCGCTGCATAATTTACGATAATCCGGAATCGCGAAATTTCTGGAATTTCGCGCAATTCCCGTTCTGTGAGTGGTATTGTACATTGCACAGCACGCGCGGCATTCCGCGATATGTGCTTCTCATGCGATTTCCAACCATTTCCCTTTTTCTTCCCGCATTTTGGGACCCGTCATACTTCGCCGAGAGAAGCCCACTTTCACACATATCCATGCAGAATGAGCTGCCCAGTTTCACATATATCCATACAGAATGAGCTCTTAAACTATACCTGCCCTATTTCTGCTGTGCTCAATAGAATGTGTACGTAGCCTCTGGAATAAGCACACTGAATGGTCCATTTACACTAAAATTCCAGGAAAGAAACTTATATCCCACAACTAGGCACATCCGTATATTGGAAGATGCGCCTCGCCGAGCTGAGTTGAATGGTACTCTTATATATAGAATTCATAAATTTTGAATCAAGATAAGGTCTTTTTTTATAAAAAGTTAGGCGTTGCGCGACAAAGTTAGGTGACTTTTGCCGCTTTTCCGCCGACTTTTGTCGCGCGACGCGGCAAAAGTCACCTAACTTCGGCGGCGCCGCGTAAGTTAAGTGCCGCCGCCATTTTTTTTCGCAAATTACGGGTGGTATTGTATACCTTGGGCCTCAAATTGGGTTCTTAGTTGTGCATACAAGCGCCGAGAGCCCGCGTCAACACTGTCATCAACCGAGGGCGTGCACGTGGGCTCTGGCACGGTGCTAGCATGGTGCTGGCACATAAACAACTTGAAATTAATCAGCGCTCTTTACTCAGTCCACCGCCTGCTACATCTTTCATAACCATAAACATGCCAGTAGGACGCAATGGCGTCCAATCTCCCCACCTACATTATGTCCACTTGCTCTCAGACGCGAATTTATGAGCATAGTTTGAGAAAAAGAAAGAATTGAGCTACCTTTCAGGAGTCTTCAGCAACTTGAACATACCCGGAGTTGAGTAAACGGAAGACTACAATTTAAAGCAATATTGAGAACCCCTACGCTGAAAGTACAACTATTCACGTACCTGGTCACGATTGTGTGCGCGGTCACCAGAAGGATTGCCAAGAGCTGCAGCACCACATACCCTGAACATGTATTAGTATTTTATGGAATACTTCACTTTGTTGCCAACCTTGGAGGGGTGGGGTAAAGCGCATAAGCTATTCCAGGGGTATGGCGCTGATCAGAGCCCTATAAGAAGGCTGATTGAAATGCCACACTTCACACTGGATACTAACCTCTTTGGAGGAGTCCGTAGTTGCACCACGAGCCGGCTCAAACAGATTTTCAGTCGCGGCTTCTTTAGAAGTGATCGTATCGTGATATCTACTCCGATAAAGTCCGATGCATGCCTTGGGAAATCCTGCGGAAAAGTTTGGGGTGAAAGAGTACTTTCATAACATATATACCACACTTTTTCCCGCATATGCTGGATAAGGCAACAGAAGTTCGTGCAAAGTTGGGTGTTTATCAACATTGATTCTCAGTTCCTCTGGTGTTTTCAGCAATGATGAGTAATCCTCTTGCATTTCTTTCATCGAAACCTGGATAACGACTCTAAACGAACACAGATAACAGCAACATATAACTTACATGAGAGATAGTCAAGCTGTTGGTATCTATCGATTGCAAAGGCTTTCTTCTTCGCGATGGCTGCACAACCTCGAGGTTGTCGTTCAGGGGAGGCAATTCTAGTGGTGGAACTTCTCTCTGAAGTGTGATAAACACTAGCAGATTGATTTGACTTAAGGAATTAGCCCTACATCATTTTCTTCAGATGTAGTCATAGGTTTACCGCTGTCCAGTCTCGGTTTCTTTGGAGCAGGTTGATACTCACTGGGTGGCTGTGCATCAACGACGACTGACGGCTATAGATGAGAAGAATGAAGTATGCAAATTGAGTATAAATTATAGTGCACCTCGATTTTGACAATTCCGCGTCTTAAGCCATGTTCTGCGTCAAGTACCGGCTGAGTACCAGTTCTGTTGATAAACATCATATGAGATAAAACCAAATTTTGGTGATCCAGTAATGTAAGGTGCATAGCTTACTGCTTTTTGCAATTAAGTTACATTTTTTCTGATTTTTTTTTTTGATTTTCAAATTCAAAAAGAATTGCTTGGTACATTGAGTTACAATGAGCACATGTAACTACGTCTTAGTTGCATTACTTTGAATTAATCTTACGTGACAATGACGCGCCGGTAAATTTCAATTTCATATCTTCATCTCTAAAGGTATACTTGGGGAAATGACTCTGAGACTCTAGACAAATTCAAAATGAATGTGAAACGAGGACACCACGACCACGAGCTTTCACATAGGACTAAAAGTTCTGTCGCATGTTTCTCATAAGTTCATAAAATACCTAATTCTTGCCATGTCTAATTGCACGATTTAATCTTTCCAAGAGCATGGTAAACATGCGCTTTACAATTGCACTCCCACAAGAGAGGGTCACGAAGCCGAACTGGCTAACCATTACATACTGCATACCTTTGGTAAAAGCTTGTAACGTTGATTCCAAAACTGCTTTCCCTAACTGCCGAGCTCTTCTGCTAGAAAAGTTATGAGCATTTTTCATGCGAGAGAATTAGCTAACCTTCGGAATATAATCAATCTACAGTCTTTCTAGACGTTTGATGGAGCGATAGAAAATACACATATGTTAGACAGAAAAGTTCTGTATTACGTATGTATCTGACACTTGTCACTAGTTCATTTAAGGTCTAGCGAGGCTGTAGCATTTGTTTTTATCTCAGCCACTGATTCATCTTTCAACTCCAAAAAATGCTCATAACTTTCTTTCCAGGAGAGCTTCGCAGATAGAAAAAGCAGACTTGGAAACATTGTTACAAGCTCTCACTAGTACTATGCAGCTTGTGGTGAATGAGAACTTCGATTTCATGACCCCCTCTTGTAGAGATTTCTACTTGAGACTGATTTCAGGATCATAGCAAAAATCGATATTCCCTTCTGAATTAAATTACTGAACATTTCAGGTGCTTCAAAGCCCTGGTCTAAAAGGAAAAGACTGAACTCAAGTCTGGCTCAGCTTGTCGAGCTAATCTAACAGCGGATATGTTCGTTCTTTTCTCAGCGCTCAAACCAACACGAGTTTGTAGAGGCAATCCGTACAATTTGAGGCTGCGAAAATCTTCACTCAACTGCTGAACATATGACTTGGTAAGCAGATGTTAGCCTGAAGCGTTACAGGCAAACAAAGCAATTCGTTCATGTGTCTCGAGATTATTCTGCTTTGGTAAATAAATATTTCTTTGCTGATTCCAAGTATACAATTTTCGCCTACCTTCATTTCTGAGTTGATTTCATTTCTGTTCTTTCTTGATCAAATGCGAGGCCTCCTGTTTACAACATAGCTGTGCCAAATTTTATCCTCGATTTGATAATCGAAAATTTAACGCCTGCACCAGCGTAAGCGCGCGCTGCTTGCCCTTTACACATAGAGGGGCTTAGTCCGCAAGTTTTTCTTTTCATTTTGATTGCTTGCCATTTCATACGAAGGCTACTGCTCTCACTACTTACAAAATGCTTTCCCTTTCCACGTTTTGGAAAGTTTCCGGTGGTGGAAAAGGCGGTACTTCATGCGAGACTGAAGCAGCTTCCAGCGTCGCTGGCTCCTAAACCGCAGGAGTTACGATGTCTTGGACTGTTATCATCACGGCAAGATGAAACCTTCTTCACTTCTGCAAGAGTTTTCATGGACTCTTTCGAGCTAGAAGTACGCTGGTCATCCCACTCAATGCTAAACATGTTTCTATAGTACTCGTCTACTACATCGCCCTAAACTTACAAGCGCTCCCTGCTGACGTGAACTGGCGCTTGAACAGTCTCTTCTTGGAAAGGATCTTCTCGCTTCCATATGATTGGCTGACTCTCTACCATCGTGATTTCGTCGCGTCTAGCCAGCCCAACGAATCGGCCTTCCTATAAATACTGAGTCTCCAATTCCACCCGATTCACATCTGTGAAGTACCGGTTGTTCAACGATATCAATGCCGGAAACTCGTGATTCACCTCTAGCACGACGCACTCCCTTTTTAGCCGAAGTAGGTGCACTAAAAAAATTTTCGCCTTGCATCAAACATATTACCAAGATTCCACCCTGCTCGTCTTTTTGATACAAAATACACTCATTTACAAAAGAACAAACCCCTTGGAGGGTTTAGGCAGAAATTGTCGCAAGCGTCGGCAACTTTCCCAAGCCGAACGAGCATCACCTAAAAATGTCATAAATCTAGCAGCTGCACTTCTAGAACAGCCAGCCTTACATAAGGTGTCCCAAAAGTAAGTACACACTTTCTAATCGTTAATAATTCTCTTTTAAAAGAGTCTTCTGCTTAGCTTCAAAAACCGTTCAGTAGAGCAGACTTTAATTCAGATTTACGGTGTGAAGCGAATCACCCATCGATTTTCGTTACTGTTAGATTACGGTAGGAAGCTCCATCATACAGCGTGAGTATGAAATAGGCCGTCTGAAAAAATCTTTTAGAAAATTCTGGAAAGTTGTGTAGCAGTGCTTTCGGACATCTTGATTTCATCAGAAAACTTTCTACGAGTTTTTTAAGCGCTCTGAGCCATTTAACCCCATTGCTGAAACAATGAAATAAGTTTTTGCGGTTTGCTTCCCATAATCTATGAAAAAAGCTCCAATGCAAAGTGCGAATTTCATCGATAATCAGCAAAATCTTAGCCTAATGATAAGGTTTTCGGCTCGTTGAATATCCACTTTGGGAAAATATGTAGCTACTAATGGCTTAAAACCCTCTTCGAAGTTCCTACCCTAATCCCACAGTAACGAAGAGAGTTGGGTGATTAGTTCATACTGTAAATCTAAGTTGAAGCCTCCTCTACTGAATGGTACTTCGAGCAAAGGAAAAGACTTAGTGGAAAAAGCTATTATCGATTGAAAAGGTGTACTTGCTTTTGGGACGCCCTGTATAAAACTGAACCTTTTTTAGAAAAAAATTTTTGTCGCGCCCCCCCCCCCCGAAAAAAATTTCTCGGACCGCCACTGGTATGTACGTATGTTCGGAATAAAGATTTCTATCTCTAAACCGATCCGGACCAAATTTTGCGCAATACACTACGGCGGAGCGGATGTCGTACCCTGCTTTTCGTTATCGATCGATATCTATTTTATCGATTTTCATCAATTTTTCGCCAAGTTTGAGTTAACATTTGATTCAACTGGCTTGGCACCATCAGGGCGGGGTTTTGTGATCTAATTGAGGCCGCTCGCGCCCGCAACGCACCTGCGTCTCTCTCGCGCGAGTGCTCTCTGATCATTACCTAGCCTTGATTAGGTCACGAAGCCGCGCCTTTGCCGATGCCAAGCCAGTTGAATCAAATGGTACAAGGCGAGTTGGCATGGGGAGGGGGGGGGGGGTGAAGTGAGCATGCTGATTACGGACATGCTGTTGACAGGGGCAGGCGAAGCCGGGTTTGCCAGCTAGTCTATGGAGCTGAGCTTTTCTTTGCCTCAACACTGAGTGTGAGATACGATGATAACCAGTTGAGAAAACGTTAGAAAATTTTGTTGTCTCTTATCTTCTTCGCTCTGGGATGCCGAGACGATAAATATGAGTTAGATAGCGAATAGATCAAACATTATGCTTCAGTAACATGCTGTTTCTTGAAGTACGTTTTCCGAATTGTAACACAGATTAAGTTAAAATTGTGATTGCGGACATGTTAAATACAATACAAATGAAATACTCTCATCAAAAATTTGTTATCATGCTTTTGGCAACTGGGACGTGCAACCTGGATGTGTAGAAATGGTGATTATCACAAAAATGGTAATTTTATCACAATCGACAGGTGCAGCCGGTTCTGTAGAAGGAAGATTTTGTTCTATGGAAGGAAGAATCTTGACACCTGATAAATGCGATGAAACATGCTGAAATGCTGATTTCCCAAAACGACAAAACTGCAGTTCCAGTTCCATCTTCTTACATTTTTTTTTATCGAGTAATACTTTGTATAGACAACTTCAAAATGGATGTATGCAAAAGCCTCACAAATTCATAGCGTGCCAATACTCGGTCAAGGCACGATGCGTAATAAAAACTCGAACAACTGGAGGGTGAGACATCCGTACAAGTAAAAGTTGGAAGTTTTTGGACAGCATTTTTTTCTGAGATAGTCAAATATTTTTTGTCCGCTTCATCATATATGCTTTTTTTTTCAGCAGCGGCAGCTTATGAACTGGCGCAAAAGTGTTGAATGATCGCAATCTTTCCCTGGGGAACCGAAGATGAAACGTTTACGTTTGATCTTCTCAACTTACTATTACCAAATCTCTGTAAACTAAATCCAAATCACTAATTTCGGGACCATATGTCGCACCCATGACAAATGGGTTTTTCGTTTTTGACTGATACAGTATTTCAAGCATGGAAAAACTTACTGAGAAATAGAGTAAGCTGACGGTCATAGATGAGCACTGTGCCATACAGAAGTTGCCCCAAGAGGTAAAGCGAAAACTTCTTCGCAGAAACTCTATCATGAGCTTCAGGAGTGAAGTTCAGTATCTCACGACTGAAATCAAAATGATTCACAACTAAAGCCCTAACTCAATTTAACACCATTAAAATTGAAAGTAAGAAAAGAGACATAGCTTCATATCCAGAAAATGCGTTCAAAAATGTTTATATTAAATGTCAAATACCCAAAATGGATGGGTGTATGCCAAAATGAACGATAGCTGGAAACAAGCACTGTATTTCTGAGGTTGCTGGTATACCGCGCCTAAAGCCTTATTTCGAAGCATTATGTTCTTCGCTGATTGAAAATTGTGTCAAAATGTGAGAATTAGGTCCTACTGAGCTCCCAGCACTTTTTGCAAATTTGGTCATCAATATAGCTTCAATATAAAATTCGGGAGAGTTTTGACTTAAGCAACACATGCGGCTGGCACAAGCTATCGTTGTGCTTCATCGTCAGATCTACCTGTTGGACTAAAACCTTTTTGCACGCGCAATGCTTTAGTTAAAGAACATTATATCGCCGGAGGAGAAAGTTCGACATGTTTACAAACACTGCTATGCACATTATAACTCGCGCCAGCTGATCCCGCAGGTGGAGCTGGCACAACCTATAAGTCTGTATAGCCACCGTGGGCCAATCATCAACTAAGGGTTCTGCGTGATAGCGAGAGTCGGTGAGTTCGCGATCATTGCAAGCGCATTGAGCTTCCTCACTTACCTTTCTCTTTTTAAACGCTTTTCTGCTATCAAATGTTAGCTTCCAGTTACCTGAAACTGGTGTGGCTTTATTGTCAATTTACTGTGATTTTGAAAAGTACGGGGTTGTTCAGCTGGTTTGAGGCTTGGTGGCATTCTGCGTGTGCACTGGCCGCGAACTCACCAACTCTCGCGACCACGCACAGCCTTAAACCTCATTGCTTTTTCGCAAAGCAGGCTAACAAGATGGTCTGCCAAACGAAACCATGTGCCCTATCAACTCCAGATGAGCTGCGACTTACCGCCACAGTCTCCCTCTACACCTGCATAAGACTCTAATCATCATGTGATGTGCATATGAAGCAAGATTAAGACGAAGAATACACGGTAAGAGAGTGCACCTCACGAGCTTTTGCGCTGCACGCACCCGACGAATAGCTCGACCCGGTGCCCCTCGGCTGCAAAAATTGCAACGCGCAAAAAGGCGATCCTGCTGCAAAATTTCAGCCAAGTGCACTGAGGAGACTTCATCGTGTCATCAGGTCTGAATAGAATCTGAATTTGATCGAACTGCGTGCAATCGCACTCACTTTGCTTGTGATTGCTTCCGTGCTCACGGCAGATCGGGGTCGTAATCAAATTTCCAAATTTGATGTGAAAGGAAGCCTGCGACAGATGGACACTATCTGTAGGTGATCTATTTGCGATATCCGTCAGCGGGTTTGGCCAGTTAGGATAGATAAGAGTCCGTTTCTTTCATTCTAAGAAATGCACAAGCGGTAAAGAGCTTCGATATCGTGAGAATGGTTGGCCACATGAACTATGGTTGATCGAAGCAAAGAAGGGGAAATCACATAACAGCTTTGGAGTTTGGGACGGTTAGATGGAAAACGGTAGGCGAAAGAGGGAGCCTGCAAGGTATCGTTGATTCGTTGACCGCAGGCACTGCTCAAACGCGGCGGACTCGCGCGGCGCGGCTGAAATGTTGCAAGAGCACGATTTGTTCAATGGCGGATTTATACTGGGGCAAGCGTTTCACTTCGCGGCGCGTGCTCCGTAAAGGATATTCGTCCACGACTGCCCCGACTTGTGCAATTACACCACCGTAGGCGTGCCTTCTCAGACACTGAGACCGTCCGAGCCGCGGCCCATTTCCGGCTGGAATTTCGCAGCGTCCGCGGACCAGCCGGTGAAGGTCCGCGGACCAGCCGGTGAAGGTCCGCGGCTCAGCCGGAAAACGGCCTCGGCTCAGCCGGAGCTGGTTGTCGGGCCATATAGTTCATTCTAGCTCGGATACAAAACGACTGTTTTTTTATTCACTGGCGCGTATATACACGCTGTGAAAAACAAAAATTGAAGTCGCAGACATGGCCGCTTCGGAAACCATGTCCGGCTTCAAAATTGGACAACACAAAGTGCTATCCAGGTGTTGTACAACACATTGGTCTTGTTCCTGCCTTGGAGACTGGAAAGACATGGAAGGCTATGGACACTGAGGGCAGCCTGACCATGCGTCGTACATCACGCAAGGGTCCTTATGCTCAGATACTAGGACCGGCCGAGCCGAAAATGGGCCGCGGCTCAGCCGGTGTTTCGTTATAGAGATTTTGGTCCGCGGCTCAGCCGGTGCAATCATATCGACATGAATTGAGGTCCGCGGCTGGGCCGGTCTTCGGCCACGCCCCCAAATTAAGGCCGCGGCTGGGCCGGTAAGCCATATTCAGTCCGCGGCTCAGCCGGTGCAATCATATCGACATGAATTAAGGTCCGCGGCTGGGCCGGTCTTCGGCCACGCCCCCAAATTAAGGCCGCGGACGGGCCGGAAAGGCCTTTTGAGGCCGCGGCTCAGCCGGTCCCAGTGTCTGAGTTTTTGAAGCCTTTCCAGCTTGACAGTACGCTGCAGCGCGCGGGGACTTAGTAGCTCGCAGCAACACCGTCCTTTAACCTCTTTTGTCGATTTAAGCATTTTGCATCGTTTTTCTTCTTAGTTTTAACATTTTAGGCAGCCATTCGTTTTCCTTTTCTCTTAGGTTTACTTGATGATCAAATATCCTAACTCCTCTTTTGATGAATACTGAAAGGTAAGCAAAAAATCATTTTAGGCACATTTCCTCGATTCCTCTCCCTTTCTACCTACCCAAAACTCATTTTCAAGATCTGAATTATCACCCGGGCAAAATTAGGTGGAAGTGTGTTTTGTTCAAAAGCAGTCGTGCTTATCATGCATTCATCATGAGTGAGATCATTCGGATGTTTATTTCAGCATTCCTACATGGTGTTCCTAATGTAGGAATGCTGATCTAACCACTTCAGTGATCTGTCCTAAGAAATATGCCAAATCCTTACAAAACAATGACAAAAACATGCAATTTCAATCATAACCATGATCCCACCACTGGAACTACGAAAAAAGCTCATTCTTCTTCTTAACTTTGCTTCGCGATAGGCTCACATAGACGTTAGCAACAGTAACTGCCTGAAATGAAAAAAGAAGAAGAAAAAACGATGAGAAATGCTTGGAGAGGTTAAAGGACAGGGTTGCTGCGAGCTACCAAGTCCCCGCGCGCCGCAGCGTACTGTTAGGCTGGAAAGGCTCCGAAAAGGCGCGCCCACGATGGTGTAATTGCACAAGTCGGGGCAGTCGTCAACGAATATCCTTTAGAGATGTCCAGTCCGTGCGGTCAACGAATGAACTACACATAAATGATTAGGTAATCTTTGTCCTTCAATGGAGCGGCTAAAACTGGTCTGTGTGGCTCTCAGACATTATGCTATGAATCCCGTGAGTCCTTACTGTGAACTTCCTAGGAAAGCATAATCCCATTCTCGCTCAGAGAACTTGGACAGCAAAAAGAAAAATACGTACAACTTCATGACCACCTCATGCGCTGCATTTTCTTGATAGCTAACATAGATGTGTGTATTACTCCCTAACTACTACTTGGGTGATTTTCAAGTAAACTCTTCTTTAGAATCTGTCATTTGCTTCCTAGACTGTAGATAACTCTTAACGACAGGTACTAACCACGTGTTTGACACTGACACCTCGAGGATGGCCTTTCTTGGTAGCTTCGTCGTTGAACCGCAAGTTGCGGCTCTCCTAAAGTAAGGGTTCAGAGCGAACAAATTTGAGTTATATAGTAAACCATTTGTAATCTCAAACACTCACCAGACCAATGCAAACTTAGCATCCGGCCCAACAAGATGCTGCACAGAGAAAAACATGATTGCTACAACTGAAATGAGCAGACGCTGCCTATGGCAACTGAGCAAAAATGAAGTCGCGTTCTCACATTACGAGGGATCTTGAATTCAAGCGCGTTCGGCAATATGGCCGGTCCTGAAGGGAATCCCTGCAAAGCGCGCATTCGACTGTTGTTTTGATCTGAAGACATCTTGTCAATGTGACGAGATTCTATTGTGTAATACAAGGTGAGGAGGAGTTGTTTAGGCATTGCTACATCCACCTAGCATGTTACAAACTCCTATACAGTGCGCTGTGTGGGAGGATGTGTGGGCTACCTTTAACATTTTGTCAAGGATACATGAGGAAGATCGCTTGCATATGTGTGACTGCAATCGTCGAAGAAGATGGGATCACGTAAGAACTTTTGTTCATTAACATTCATTGGAATCTCCGGATTGGTTGGTTTTACTATGCCAACGGAAGAGTGTATACATGCACTGCTCTCTCCTAGTAGTTGCGTAATTATTCAGTTTAACGTCTTTCATCTCTTCACTAAAGTATTCGTCTTTTGATTGCATCTATGTTACTCGAAGATACAATAGAAGTTTTTGCTATGTAGTTCTCCTTGATTTTCGATTGAGTCCAGAGACAGTTATAGTTAAGCCCCGGCCAGACTTCGCTCAAAGCACCCGAAAGCGCTCAACGCCCAAAAGCGCCCAAAAGCGCTCGAAAGCGCCCAGATTTCTCCAATGCCTCTTCACTTTCTCATGTGAGGAGAGATGAGAGAACGAGAGAGAGAGAGAGAGATTGGGCGCTTTTGAGCGCTTTTCGGCCTTTTGAGCGCCTTTCGCCGCTTTTGAGCGAAGCCTGGTCAGGGCCTTATACTTTGAAATTGCTGCAATTTGTTAAGTGACATTCGCATTCATCTTGAACAAAACATACTGGCTGACCAAGTATGAGGTCAAAACCTGAGTTCATTGGAGTTTGCGTACGACGTGTCAGATCGTTTCAGGCAAAATGCCAGCGCTGTGCGCTAGCAAAGCCTCCAGCGATGTGGATGCGCTGCTCCACTTGAAATGTTTCGCTTAATCCAGGTTGACAGACCATAGGTCACATTATAGCTCGTGCCAGTAGTCCATATGTATGGAGCCTATCGGCGACATGATTGTTCTCTACTGCCGGACGAAGGCGCAAAAGCACTATAGTCGAGCGGCGAACGCTGCGCGACAAGGAAAAGGTTGGGAGGCGGCGCGGATTTTTCGCGAAGCGAGTCGCAACGCGATATCAACAGCACATTATCCAGCACTCCATCTGCAATGTTAGCTAAAGGCTGCTGCATGACTAAGGCGCAATGGCGACATTAGTTGAGCGGGCGCGAACGAGACGCGCCGTATCCTCACCGTTGTAGATCCCGCACCTCATGCGCTCTGCGGCTAATAAAGCCGCGTTCGCGCCCGAGGATATTGCGCCTTCGTCATGCAGCAGCCTATATGTCATGAAGTCATGTATCACCCTAACTCCTGTCCCTGTCTCCCCGCCGTGCCATTTTGGACCGGAGAGTTTTGAGGGACACAAAATTTCAGCGCGGCGAACGCAGCAAGACGGCCGCTGCACGCGGCGTTCCTCCTGACATGCAGCCCTATTTGCGTCGCTATCGTAATATAGACATGACCGATATGAATTCTGAGTGATTAGCACAATGACAATGTTTCTTATTTCTTTTTGCGGCAGTTAGTTTCACTCTTGTGGGTGGGTGTCCTTATGTCTGCGGACATCTGCAACGGACCCATCATGACACTTCACGAGCATAATTTCATCTGTCTACTATTTTTTTCGCGGTACGGAAGAAAAGGATGGCATTTTATACCCCAGTCTTCTTTGTGTAATTTTTTCGAACCTGAGAAAATGTTAGAACCTGTGGCGTTTGATTGAAGTTTTCTGCGCAGAAGATGGGTCTTGGCAACAAGCTTACAATGCAGGATTGCTCTGACATTATCGAAATGTCTGAAGCAAAGTGCTCATCCAACATTTTTTTTTTGTAGAAAACTCAATGGTATGTGTGGTAGATTTTGCGCACAATATAGTATGATCGCGGTGCCCAGAGTTTGCGATGAAATTTGCACGTGAAGAAATAGCTACGCTTGAAATGCATATAGTCGATTCGTTGACCGCACGGACTGGGCATCACTGCGGAGCACGCGCCGCGAGGTAAAACGCTTGCTTCAGTACAAATTGCCATTGTACATATCATGCTCTCGCAACATTTCAGCCGCGACGCGCGTGGTCCGCAGCGTTAAAGCACTCCGTGCGGTCAACGAATCGACGATACCTGTGCGCGCAAATTGCCGCCATTTCAAAAGTGGCTATTTGTTCGCGCAAATTTCACCGCAGAGTCTGGGCACCGCAATCACACTGTATTAACACGTTGACGACCGCGCCGTTTTGGGCGAAACTCCCACTAACGTCCTTCGCGCATTTGGCCCGTGCATACGCGCGGATGCACGAAAACATTATGTGGGAGTCTTTTTGACGCTTATTCATAAAACACGCGAACTTCGTTGAGAAATACAGGTATATCACAGTGCCCTACCAGGACTTACACAAATCAAGGTTTTTGCATGATTTTACCTCCACTAAACCATGCAATGGCTATATCTGAGGACTCCCTCTTCGAGAAAAGCGCTGTAATACCAGATGTTTTTTGCCTGATTCATCCTTATCTGATTTCAAAACAGCTATGCAGAGTTTTCACCTTCTCGGAGAAACGTAATTAGCATGTGTTTACCTTACCAAAAACCGACTGATTACCCAATTTTGCAGCCCAAACTTCTGAACAGCTGCCGCGATACCCTGTGTTCTGTAAGATTATCAGGCCATCAGTAGTATTACTGCATAGAAGTTACCTTGAAACTTTTCGTTTACACCTAAAAAACTAGCGTGCATATGCGCGGATGCACGAAAATGCTAAACGGGAGTTAGGGCGTGCATACGCGCGGATGCATACGGTCGTCAACGTGTTAAGCGGAAAATTGCTGGACGTGTGTGCTTGACTGTATCGAGTGGGGAGAATAAGATAAAGGTGATTAAGACGAGCTGCATTTGTAAGTAAGGAAATTCAACTTCCACGCCCACTAGAGATCACTAGATCGATGATCTGTTCGAACGAGGTGCGTTTTTCTACGCAAAACAAAACAACCATAGGCACCGTTATATTACAGACGAAAATTCGTTGCAAATTTGCTCTCTTAGTAATAAACGACCCATCCACCTCTAAAGTTTCGACAGTAGTAACTCAGGATCGCAACGAGCATAAAACACTAGAGTGAACTAATCCCGGCTTTTTGCTCATCATATACAGACTGCTTTCAGACATTGTTTGATTATGAGTTGCTAATTTAGCAACCCCCTTAGGCCCTGTGCATACCTCACGCGATTTCAGTCGCGACCCGACTTAGCAGTAATTCAATTGTCCATATCTCTTCGCAAGGTGTTTCTGAATGTATGAAAGATAGGGTATTTTATCAACCTGCGAAGTTATACACGTTGTGCATTTGGGGTCTGCCAGTAGACATCTGGCAAATTGCCAGATCGCGTGGCGCCTGAAATCGAGGTATGCCCACGGCCTTAGGGTTATTTCGTACTGCCGCACTGGCTGCAGCAGCCGCAGCAAAGGAGTCTACCAATGGTTTCAATAAACTGCTGTAGCAACTTCAGCTTTTCCTTAACACGTTGACGACCGAGCCATTTTTGACCACCTCAAAATGGACTAATGATCTACGGCTGCGGTTTGGACTGTTTAACAGCTACCGCAATGCCGTGTGTTCTATATGACAACCAGGCCACCAGTGTTATTACTGCATAGAAGTTACCTGAGAAATTTTCGTTTACACATGATAAATTGATGCACGAAAGTGCTACAAGGTGGTCAGGGCGTGCATACGCGCGGATACACACGGTCGTCAACGTGTTAACGATTACACATTGTACTTATTTTTGGGTCACCTTGTATAACAAAGCCAACGCAGTTTTGGACCAAAACACACGCACTTATTATTATATTTGGTACGGTTGTAGGCTTGCTGCATTTCAACATCTGAGAAAGGGAAAATATTTCAACAACACTGATTAACACGTTGACGACCTTGTGCATACACACGTATGCACGCCCGAACTCCCCTTCAGCATTTTCGTGCATCCGCGCATATGTACGCTAGTTTGAACGGAGAGTTTCAATATAACTTATGCAGTAATACTACTGGTGGCCTGATTGTCTTACAGAACACAGGGCATAGCGGCAGCTGTTCAGAATTTTTGGCCGCAAAATTGGGTAATCAGTCCGTTTTTGATGTGGTAAATACATGTCAATTACATTTTTCGAGAAGGTGAAAACTCTGTATAGCTGTTTTGAAAGCAAACAAGGATGCGGGCAAAACATTTGGTATTACAACGCTTTTCTCGAAGAAGGATTGCTCAGATATAGACATTGCATGGTTTGTTGGAGGAAAAATCGAAGCAAAAACTCTGTGTGTCAGTCTTGGTGAGACTCTGTAATATACATGTATCTCTGGATAAAGTTCGCATGTTTTATGAATAAGCATCAAAAAGACTCCCACATAATGTTTTCGTGCATCCACGCATATGCACGGGCCAAATGCGCGAAGGACGTTAGTGGGAGTTTCATCCAAAATGGCGCGGTCGTCAAAGTGTTGAAGGAAGAAATGAGAAGAAATACAAATCAAACATTAGGCAGCAATAACTTGGTAAAAGCGCCTCATGTAATCTAAAATAGGTAAAATGTAGCCAAAGGTTTGTTCTACATAACAGTTACCAGCGCTCCTTGAAAACATTAGGATAAAAATTTTTGAAATTCAGGAAAGATTTGGCGTTACTGCTGAGCTGCTCGAAAAGCCATGTCGATAACCTCGCAAATACAGGGTAGATCAAAGAGCAAATGTAGCTACAAGAAAGAGAATAAAAATCTGAATCGAAAGATACCTAAGACATCCATGGATTGGTGTTCTGTGAGTTTTAATGAGCGATGAAAAAAACGGACAAAATTTCGGGACAACCTAATATATTGCTCCTGCAG